CGCTTCTTCGACGGATCGAGAGGAAACAGGTGGTTCGTCGATCGGTCGTTTCGCGCGGATAACGCGAGGGCATCCGCTCGACCTCCGTTCGGTTTACGGCCGCGTCAACGAACGCTCGCTTTCCCTTTCGCGATCGCTCTTGAAACGTCTTCTTTCTCTCCAGCCGAGAAACGATGATTCATCCCAGGGGACGACGGTCGTCGATCGAACGAATCTCGCGGACCTTAATCGCGACGAATAAATCACGACGCTCGAACGCGGGGTCGCGAGCCGCGAATCACGGGGACGCGTTCTCGGTAATTAATAAGAAGCGGCCACGTTCGCTGACTCCCCGATAATGCCACCGATCGAATTCGACGAGGAAATCGAGAAGTTCTCGCCGATAAGAACCGTCTCTCGGCGTCGAACCGTCTCTCGGATACGCGGCGAAACTCGTTCGCGTCGATTTATCGGGAAATCTCCGATCGTACCCGACCGACCACGAGCGCGCGTTTTTTCGAACGTCCACGAATCTCGTCGCGACAAAGGAACCCATTCACGGCTCTTCGTCGGCTCGAAAAGCGTGCGTTGTTCTCTCGACAACTTTTCTCCGGCAGATTTTTCCCCGCTCGATGCTGGTAGAAGCGGCGTCAAGGTAACGTCCGAGGCTGCCTTGCCGCGGGCGAGAAAGCGCACGATCCTATCGCAATTTAAAGATCGCGGGAGTCGAAGATCGAACGGTGGACCGAATAGAAACGAAACTGAGGGAAAAGCTCGAAGAATCGAGGACGTCGCGCCACTCGGCCCGACCGGACCCAGAACGAGAATCGGTAGACCAGCTCCATATACGGTGTCGTTGGATCGCGCGCTCGAACCAAGCTTCGCTCGGATCTCAACGATGCTGCGGCGAATCGAAACAGCCTGACACGCTATTTTCGCGTCGACATTCTTTTCCGCGCTACCTTCTTTCTCCGTCTATCTTTTCTTATACGAACGTCTTCCGGGTTTCGTACGCGGTAGTTTTTCCGACCGGTGACCGCCTCGAGTCTTCTTCGAGAAGCGACGGAACGGGACGCGCTTTTCGAGCTGGAACGTTTATTAAACCGGTTACACGGTCGAGTTGGCGAGCCGCGGGTCGTAGATCGCGAGCCAGGACAAAACATCGTTCGAAGCAGGAGAACGCGACGCGCGTACGTGACTGGGAGAGAAACCAAACGACTCGTACGTTTCAAGGGAAACGCGTGACGGGACGCTCTCTTCTTCTCTTTGCGTTTCTCTTTCATTTTTTACCGTAAGCGAGTTCCGAAGGTGACGACCGAATTGTCGGTCCGAAAAATAAGTTTATGTTGGATCTTCGTGAACCGCGATCGTCCATCGAACTCCTCTATCTCGACCAGTTACGATTCACGACTGCTCCGAGATAAGCGCTCGTCTTCTCGCGAGTTTACCGAGGGATCTAGATCCGACCGCGATTCGATAACGGGTAACGGGCGATCGAGAAAACGTTTCTCGTCGACGGACGTCGAACTCGAAGTCGCTTAACAAATTAGCTTTCGCATACTTACGGACTTCGAGAGACGGAAAGCGATCACGTATCCATAGATTTCACCAAGCTTTCGTTTTCTTTCTTCTCCTGCATGCTTCGTATCGGAACTTTCGGGTATCGGTAAGAAATCGAAGAAACGATTCGACGATAAATGTCAGGTCGATCGAGGAGTTATCGTAGAAAAGTGTTCGAGTAAAAACTGCTCCAAAATTCGATTCGAAAACACCGAACGTGCGGACGTACGCTCCACGCGCCTCGATTATCGCGAGAACACTGAACCACACCGAACCACCGATTCTCCGTAACTCTTCCCCACTCTCTCGCCCGGCCTCGAGCAGACCGTACACACTCGCCGTACCACTGGAAAGACCACTTTGCAGCTTTCCCCGATTCTCCCTAGATGGCCGACCATTTACGCGCGTTCCCTTTAAATTTTATTCCTTTTATCCCTACGCTGTAAACGAGAACCGCACGACACTCGCTACGAAGTCATAACACCGTGTAAAAAATTGCGAACGGAAAAGAAAAGCAGCGTCCTCGACCAAGGCCGAGCCCCTATCCGGGGGCCGAATCTCTCAAGGTCGATCACCCTGCTCGAAAGCGGCGCAGCAGAAGAGGAGGGAAGGGGACGATTACGATTTGGGAGCTACCTGCTCCACGGGAGTCGGAGGTGAAAACGGGACGAAAGCGAAGAAAATTACGGGAGGAAACTACGCGAGGAGGGGCAGAAAAGAGGGTTCAAGGACGGGAAGATACTGTTTACGTGGGGGGTCGAGCGTAGAACAGGGACGAGAACAGGGCCGTGTAATTCGAATCCGAAACCAGTTTCTGCCCCATGGGTCAACGAGGGACCTCTCCAACCGCGGGTTTACTCCCTCTCGTTCGAGGGTAGCTCGTTTCTACGAACGATAAATTGAACCACAGGTTTCAGGGTAACCCTCTTATCGAGTTGCGTCGCAAATTCGCGTCCCCCTCTTTTTATCGCTCGTTTCGTACGAAAGCAAATAAAAAACATGCGTCGATTTCCGATTGCGACCGATGCGTCACGAACGCGTTCCGCAACCGCGTGATTAGATCGGTAAGAGGGAAACTAGCTTTTACCGAGCGTTTTAATATTAGCGGTTACGAGCTTCTCGCGTATTGTCCCGGTGAGTCTCGGTTCTCTAACGTCGAAGGAATGGAGCGTATCTGTCTGGCGATACTCGTCGCGATGTGCAGGTTAGTCGATCGAATTTACGTGCTCCGTTTTGTGTCTCGATTTCGCGTAACGAGTTTCTCTCGACAGCGGAAGCAGCGGCCAGTGGTCGCCCGATTGGGTGAGCGGACTGTCGCGAAACATCGAGGCGTTGAACAGGAACATTCAAGAGAACGTGCGACAGGTGAACCTAGGAGTGCAAGAAGCGGTGCGAGGCAGCTTGGAGCAGGCTCGTCAAGCAACGAACGAGAAATTGAGTACGTCGACTTTTCCGCTCGTTTTCTGTCTGAAAATTCTACGGACGATTTCGCGCCTTTCACCGTCGAGATACGTTCTCTCGGTTTCTCAAGGCGATCGCTTTTCCGTTCGGCCTTCGCGGTATCGCTGACCAAATCGTCGCAGTTTCAGGTGACGTGCAAATAATCGGAGGCAACAACGCCATCGTGTCGAACCAGGACGGCGTCAAGTTCGTGCGGTCCGGCCACACGTCCGACGGCAAGCCGTACACCCGTGAGAGCTCGGAGCAGATCGTGGGCGACGTTCTCCGACACGTCCTGAAAGTTTACTATCCCGCCACGAACACCACCGCGGTGCACGGCTACACGTTGGATCTAAAGGACCCGAACGCCAAACCAGTTCCGATAAACGGCGATAAATAGCGAGTCCGAAAGAATGCCAAAAGACTCGCAACGACGCAGACCATAATTTTGTAATGTAAACCTAGAATCGAATAAATAAACGTACGCAGCAGAAACTGTTGATCTAGATAGGTTTGCGCGTGCGTGGAACAGTATCGAGAAAATAAAAAGCGGGCGGTCTTAAAGGAGAGCAAATCGAGTCGAAAAGCGTGTTGGGTCGATGGCGAACGTTTCGAGCACGCGTGTCAAAGTGGCGCCGAGAGGAGCGAGAGATTGCGCGGGGTGCCTTAAATGGAAATGCCCCTGGCTTGTCCTCGATTCTCCTTCTCTCTTTCGCAAAGTTTACTTTTTCTCGCGACCTCCCGTCGCCTTCGAATTTCCTCGAAATGAGCGAATTCAGCAGCGTTGGATAAAAAGAAAAATCTTAACGCGACCGGGAGTCGTTTAGGGAAAAAGTCGAAACAATCTAATAGCGTTATTGTCGAAATCTTTCGTAACCCGACTTATCGTTGTTTTGCAATAACTGCGAAGCGCCTGGAGGACCGCAACCGAATTCTTCCGAATAAGGCGGGTTACGTTCGCTCAGGGGCAATGTGGAGTATATAAGCGCTTCCTGCTTTTTAGTAGTTCCATTGTCCGTTTTACTGTCCTATGTCCGTTGACTAGTAATAGCTCTCGCGACTCAAGGATGAAATCCTCAGAAGCGCAACCTGGAACGTGTTTCCGGATTTTCCTGTGTTTCTTATTCATCCCCTGGTACGGCCAGTCGTTTATCATCAACAATGTTACCGGTAAGTGGATTCGATCTCGCGATAACGTCCATTTCGACGAAAGCCCATTTCTCTCAATCTCAACCCATTTCTCTCCGTCCGGGAAATTGGATTGTTTATCCTCGAATAAGAAAACAGAATAATTCGATCGAAAGTACCGGAACAGAAAAACGGGCGTATTCTAACGCGCCTTATCATTCCGATAACTCCGCGTTTTATCTGTTCCTAGATTCAAGGAGGAATCCGGAGCGACGGAAGTCAGAGGTAAGTTGCTTCGCTAAAATTTCGTCAAAAACTCGAGAATGTGTTGCTAACAGGGATCTTGCATCCGGCTGAGAGAGAGAATGGGACACTGCGAATATTTGAACAGATGCTTCCTCGAGTACGGATCGAACTTCACGCTCGCCATGAAGCACACGTGCACGGTCGACAAAGCGTAAGTTCAATCACAATTTCAACTATTCTTCAAACTTGATTATACTCTAATTCATCGACGAACCAGATTCGTCGGCGTCTGTTGCGAGCACCCGAGGCACTCCGACGAAAACCTCGCTGATGTCCTTCCGACCATTGCCGGTACGTGAAACGAAACGCTACGTCGACAAAAAAGTAAACGATCCTCCTTTCAGTGAACGTCCGATCTGACTCTACGAGAATCGTTTGGGAAGAGCCATCCACGTCCGCACCCGAGAACCCGGAAAGACCCAAAGGATGCGGGACGAGTTCTAACGGGCGGACCAGAGTGGTGGGCGGTGTACCGGCCGAACCCGGAGAGTGGCCTTGGATGGTAGCTCTTTTGAGAAAAGATCGCAGTCAGTTTTGCGGTGGGGTACTAGTCACCGATAGACATATTATAACAGCGGCTCATTGCGTCAACAGGTAACCTCATTTATCGATAACGATTCGGCAACTCGATCTCGTTTCTTGTCGTCAGACTCCAGCGTGAGGACATCAAGGTTAGATTGGGAGAGTACGATTTGATGTCGGAGGAGGAGACCAGAGCCAGAGACTTTGCTGTCTCGGAGATACGAGTGCATCCGGAGTATGATTCTACTTCGTACGCTAATGACATCGCGATTGTTAAGTTGCATCGACCGACAGTGTTCGACACCTACGTTTGGCCAGTGTGTCTGCCGCCCGTTGGGGACACGTTCGAGAACAAGAGCGCGGTTGTCATCGGTTAGTTAACCCTTTGCACTATGACTTACGTGTCAGGTGCGTCAGTCAGAATCGACTAATTACAGCTACAATATTAAAACAAACAACAAAATTAGAAATGTTACGTCAATATGTTATTATACAAACGTTGACTATGCAAATTATAATTAGACTTGAACTCCAAATTGAAGCGTACTAAAAATTCGAGTAAAATTGATCACGAGGTATGAGTGCGTCACGAGTCAGACTCGTCAAAATATTAAAATTGTATCGACATTCATTGATACCGATTAACTCGAGCTCCCAATTTTAGGCTGGGGTATGCAGTACTACGGTGGTCCTACAAGTACCGTTTTGATGGAAGCGCAGATTCCGATCTGGCCACAGAACAGATGCGTTCGCAGCTTCGTCCAACGAATCGACAGCAACGTGATGTGCGCCGGAGCTTACGAGGGCGGACGAGACGCCTGTCAGGTAAGTCCTGAAATAATTTTCGAAGCTCGTCGACCGAAAGTGCTTGTTCGCAGGGCGACTCCGGAGGACCGTTGCTGCTTCGACTCGAGAACGGCAGATGGGTGAACGTCGGGATAGTGTCTTGGGGAATCCGCTGCGGGGAGCCCGGTATTCCAGGCATATACACGCGTGTCAGCTCTTACCTGGACTGGATATTCGAGAACGCAGTGTTTTAGCCAGCTCGCCCACGCGCGCTATTCTCGTCGATCGTAAAGCAACGCACGGTCACAAGAGTCGATTGACGTTTGGAAACGATGAAATTTTATTTTAGGAATATCGATCGTTACAACGTTAAAAGAGATTGACACGAATAGAGAGAAATTCGATCTTCGGGACGCGCTCGATTCTCGTACTTTCCTTACGGCGTACGCGCGACGCGTTTCACGCGCGTACGCGTATACCTCTGCCGCGCGAGCATCTCGCGCGTTACTAATCTATGGGTTCGACCGCTTGTCGGCCGAATCGAACGAGGCCCCGCCTCTGCTTTTACGCACCGATATCTAACTTCGTAAATATAAATATAAGCGTATACGAGTACGTGCGTGCCCGCGTGCGTCCCTGTTCGCGTGGATTTAAGCTAACGTAGACCGTTTTGTATCGAACCTGGAAATATACGCGTGCGCGCAAAACGTTCTGTTCAGTCAACTTCCTACTTCCATTTCCTTCTCCTTTGCTCGGTTCGATCCGTTTCCGCGTACGCGTACAAAAAGCTACGGGGAACACGGTAGATCGTCCGCGAGCGGGAACGCAACGGGGAAATACGCGACCAACGGACAGGAAGTTGGCGCGCGACTAAGCTCTTCTCCGTGAATCGTGTTCTCCGTGATTCATCGTTTATATCTTTTTACGTCGAAAGACATTCTTTCGAACGAGTGGACCCAAATGTCGATCGGCCGGGCCGATCAGAGTTCGCCGCTATTCTACGCGAATCACGAATATCGATTTACCGAGACACGGAAGGACGCGGGAATCGAAGGGAAACGAGCTACACTCGAGGCGGAGGTGTCGCAGGAACGAGCAACGGCGCGTTTGGTCCGCTCTCCGCGTGATTCGGGATGCTCTCGCCGGTCTGATAGGAGCGACGAGATACGGCGCTGCTCGACGGCGAGCC